CTAGAAGATTGACATTGTTCTCATGGAATTCACTCCTGGGGTTGGGGTCAACCAAAGACCAACAACTTCACACTTGGAGCTATTTTGATGAAACGCTGAATGAGCAGACTTTGGGTCAATTCTGGCAGCTTCTGGGCTGGAGCTTCGCCTGGCTGCAAAAAGGATGTTGGCCTGACAGTGACCACACTGGACAAAAGCATATTGGCTGCAAATGTTTTGTTGCATGTCAAATTCTTTAGCCTTAGTCTTTTGAGTTGAGTAAAGCACATTGTGTGGCCTCAAGCCCCTGCAACAGGTACAAGAGCAATTCAGCAGAAGGCCGAAAAGCCAACAGACCTTTAGCAGGTGGCTATGCAGCCACAGTTTGGTGCTTGGTGGGCGATTTAGAGTACCTAAGTCCTGGAAGCATTGTGGTCTGGGTGCTGAGTGGCTGTCCTTGCAGTGGACACCAGAAAAGCACCTTGATTACTGCATACATTGATTGTTGTGAAGTTTTCTTTTTTCACAGCGCAGTCTAGGTAGCATTCCCTCTGGGCAACATAGACTTTAGGTAACATTTCCCTTGCGCAAAACATATTTTCAAGCCATGCAACCTGGAATCCTGCTTCAGGTGGCTGGAATGTGAAAGCCGCTCCAAATGCAAGCTCTTTGAACATGTCCCTGGCCTGACAGCAGTCAACACTGCATATGACTTCATGCACTCCAAGTTTCTGGGTGTGGATCAAGTTTTTTATGGCAGCTGCCTTTACTTGCTCACCCACCACATCTTGCCACAAAGCCCATTGAAGAACTTGCAGACTTGCTGGAATTCTATTCTGAAAAGCTACAAGAGTCATCGCATCCAAGAGCGATACAGGAGCATGGCCAAGCTCAGCCTTTTCATGCGAAAGAAAGGTGGGCCCAAGTTGAAAGGGAGGGCTAGCCAGGTACAAAACCTGGCAGTGCCACTGCTGGAGCTTTGGGCTTCCTGTATGAGTTCCTCCATAGAGATTCACAAAAAGGTCTTGACTATGCTTAAACTCAATGTCGCCATTGAGAAGCTGATGAAGCAGAACAAATCCTCTCTGGCATTTGACAAAGAGGATGCCCAGAACTTCAAGAAGTGTGGTTTTGCACTGGCCCAACTTCACAGGGATACACTTTGCAGAGGAGGACAAGCCAATCTTTCAAGACATCCCCAAACTACATGCAATGCTGCATAGTGTTCTGACTTGCGATGTCCTTAATCCAAGGCTCACATGGTGTTTTAGGCAGGAAGACAACATGAATGTGCACCGAACCCTGGCTAAATCTTGCTCCCATGGTGTGAGAGGGCCAGCAGGCACTGGAAAGATGGTTGCCAAAATGAGGATTGCTTTGCACCTACAGCTTTCCAAGCAATGAAAAAAGGAGTTTTTGCAGCTGACAGTGGATGAGAAACTTCTTCTTTCTTTCACCATCTGGCCTACCATGCCTAAGTAACATCTTTGGGGAATGTTATGTCAAAAGCAGTTCTGCTAACAAAAGATAAAGAAGTGTCCAAATAACGTCCTTGTTGTGACATCAAGTTTCATAGACTAAGTCAGATCTTTTTAAATGTAACCAATGGGTTTTTAACATGTTGTGAACCTTTTTACAATGATATTTACAAATAGCCTTAAGGTTATTGGATCAAATAACCTTGAGAATTGTCTTAGAAAATAACCTTAACACTCTCTCAAAAAATACCTTGTAGTCAAAATTTTAACTAATCCCTGAAAGGTAGGATTTTGTCTAACCTGACCTTAGAGGTAGCTGCTGTAGGGCCACCTGCGGCCACTGCCTTGAAGAAGGCGCTCAACTGGAGGGGTGTAGGAGTGCGAACCTCGAACTGGTGCTCCAATGCATAGGTCCGCCATCGTCGGAGGGCGCCCGCCAGGGCAGCCGCCCGCTGGGGCGAGACCCGGCTAGCCGCGGGCATAACCGTCTCTTTGAGGAGCTGAAGACGTACCGGATCATACCGGATCCCGCATCATCGCCCGGTCAACTCCCAGTTCCTGGAGGTCAAGGAAGTCCTCCAACAAAAGTTCAAACATAGACTCCAGCTTAGCATTCTTCTGCAGAACCTCCTTGGCATAGGGGTCATGGGAGGCATCGTGGATCATAGTGGGGGCAGCCGAGCCCGGACCTATAGAGGTCAGGTGACGAATCCGAACTCCTGTAGGTGGCACCGTGGTGTCCGTCCCAGACGGAAGCGGGTGTGTCGAGATGCACGAGCGGCGATGGTCTTCCAACCGGCGTTGGGCCTTGGCTCGGGTACTAGCTCTCCCCGAGGCCACACAAAAGGCCGCCACAGCAAACTCCTGGTCCGGGAGCAGAGATCCAATCCTCATGCTCCACCTCTTGCAAGAGCTGCTGACTGCTGCCCCAAATACCAATGATGTCCGAACAAGCCCCCACCAGGACCACCAACTCCCGCAAGCCATCAGGCTTATCGTGAAGCAGATCGTCCTAAAGCTCCTGCTCCATCGGCGGTCGTAGAGCCTCCGAGGGCATGGATGAGGTACTCACGGACGGCCTGCTCTGAGATTCCCAGCTGCGCCGCGAGCGTGGCAATGGGGATCGAGTCCTGGGCTTCGCGGAAGGATGGCTCCCCTTCCCGTGCCCCGAAGCCTGAGACGTAGACGGTGTTGGAGTCCTCTGGGCCGTAGGTCTCCTCGAAGGCATGGTGTCCCGCGTCCCACGTCACGCCAGCCGAGCTGCACCTCCGATGTCCAGGGGTTCTCACCCCGATGCTCTCGCCGCCACCGTCGGGCGCCCGGTTCCCACTGCGACAACACCAAGGTCGCAATGGGCGGCATGAGCACGGGCCCGAAAAGAAAAACTCCCTGGACCCACACTTGAGCCAAAATGGCATACAAGTGTAGGTCCTAACTTACCTAACACTTACATGTTTCAAATCCCAAGGAGTCCCTTCCCAACCAGACCATTCACCTTGGAAGATAATTGTAGTGTGGTCGGCCCACCTCCAGGCCTAACAGCTCATGTTGTGAAAGGTTTCTCCAGAATCGAATGCTGGGAGCGAGGCATGTGACAATAGTGGCAGCCACCTCTGCAGGCCTTGGCTACAGAACAGAGCCTAGTGACGCCATCAGTGATATCATCATCAGCGACACCACGTGGCACACCATGTGGCACACCATGTGGCACACCATGCCGCATCTACCCAAGGTGTTGAAGTCTGAAATGGTTTTCCTGGATGAGAGGCTTTCCCAGAACCTGCTGGCCTTCACACCATCGAGTGACACCATCTAAGTGACAAAAGGTGCCGAGTGGATCGGGGCGGTGCAAATCACGTCATCTGTCTCTCTCGAACATTTCGCCGCAAAAGCCTTTGGGCACCACACTTGAAGTACAAAGTACGACGTGGTCCGGCCTCCCGTAAACCGCACTGAAGCACAGCTCCCAGTCCACAGTACGTGATGCCAACACAATGTGCAATTTCATCTCACCTTGGCCATCTGCAAGCGCACACCTGGCAGGCCCAGTGTTTGCGTCACCTAGGTGGGCCAAGGCTGGCTCAGTGTTGCTCATTGCACGGAGTGAGGACATCCAACAGTATGCTCCCTGGAAAGCAGCTGCAGCTGAGACCTTTTTTGAACGGACAATCAATATCTATGCTCATCAACACTCTTCGTCCAAACCACCACTTTCAGCAAAGCCACCCAAGATGTTGAATCAAAAAAGCTCACCTCGCCACCCTTTACCTGGAGAGCGGCACAAAGCGGGAATTGTCAAGCTAAGCATCTGTCCGTTTCTATCAGGAAAAGTGCGAGGTGCAAACAAACATGACCACAGCGTCACGCAGCAAAGCAGAGCACAATTTGATCAATCATGATCAATCCACATCCAGTCCTAATAGCTCCTACTAGCTCTCAGCCTGCCCCCCCCACCTGCTCCATGAGGGTGGTGGGCAAATTCCGCTCGCCAAAAGTCAGGGACAAATGCTCGCATTCCAAGCGACGGACCTGGCCCAGTCGATCCTTGACCTACCGCTTACATCCTCAAATTGATAATTCTCTGATACGATCGTGGGATATCTAACCTGTAAGCTTGCAGCCGACATCAATCCTGTTTGGAACTGTGGATGCCATGGCTACCCAACTCTTTAGCTCCCTCCAAAACAGCAGCTACAGTATATATATATAACTTATATAACCACGACTGGATCATCCACACCATCCAAACCCACTGACCTCCGCCCCAGCGCCAAAGGCCGTGATCACATCCACAGGCTCCGAGACCGAGAGCAAAGGGTTCTCGGAGGCCTAGAAGCGCAAATAGACAAGAGCTGAAAACCACGACTTGAGCAAGGTTAAGGTCAGGCATCCGAATCTTTAAGCAAAATGCTATGGAACAGGTGCCATGATACAGGGAAACGACAATGTCATGCCTTAGTCCCCCATGTATTTCTGATTTCATGGTTTGGGGTAGGACTTTGTCAGTCGCCTGTAGGCGCCTTGATATGACGCAATCAACATTGATCAACAAAATGGCCGGTTGCCTTCTCAGGTTCTTTGACCTCCATTCCATCAGGTGTGAAGTCAGGCTGCAAAGTGGAGCTCACCAGCTCCTGGAACCTGGCATCCAAAAGCTGTAGACCACTTGCTCGTGCTTTGTTTCTAATATCATGTAGAAATGGTTGAGCATTCCGTGAGAGCTTAACTGTTGTTCCCTGATTTGCTAGCATCAGGTCAGATATGCACGGTGAAGATCGGCAATATGTGCGCGCGCGGAGTGTGCATGTGTCTGTGGACGTGCCAAGCAGCCGGCCTCTGGCTCCGAAGGTCCACTCGTTTCCTGAAAAAGGCGAGCGGACGACCTGGTTGGAACCAAAACCGACGCACTGCCATCAATTCTGAATAGAGAGCAGCTAAGTGGTTTCATGATTCGCCTGTAGCATCCTATAGCCCTGTAGCTATTCCATTACGTTTACAAGCTTGCACTGCAGTGATTGCCCTTTGGAGGAGCTTTCTCCAAAGAAATGCACATGAGCCGTTGCATTGATTTATATATTCGTTTGCTCCATGGCTTCTTCCGCAATCAGTGGATGGAAGCGACAAACCCCCGAGCATCTTAAGATCTTGACTGATTTGCTTTCTAGGACTCCGTCCGTCCGTCTGAAATCTGTAGTTTCAAACAATTCACACAAATTTGTTCCCATGAATGTCATGTGTAAAAATTGTTGAACACTAACAATGCAATTTAGGCGCCCCAACATCAAGCCCCACCGGGCAAAGCAATTCAAAAGGGCTTTTGGTCTCTCGAAGGTGATCTCCCTTGACCGCAGCTCCCTTCTCTGACACTTGGACCCAGAAGTGAACAAAGACCCGCAACAGTAAGAATTGAGAACAACTTATTATGCCTTATGTTACACCTATTCAGCCGATTCAAGTGTTTACACGGGATCCAGGTCCGCTTTGGCCATTTATATATCCTAGAATGAGCCCGACATATGCCAAGATGCTGCGGGTTCTTGGTGACACAGGCAATCGGCAGCATGACATATCGAGAGTTGATCTGACCTGAAGGTAAACTTGACAGGCGCATGTACCAAGTGTCATGGGCTGCCACGAAATAAACCTGCTTGTGTCCAAAACTCTCTCTTTAAACAGCTGGTCCCCAATAGAATGCCGACCTATGCGGCGACGGTGCATGTATGTATTAATTAGACATGTAGTGTAGTGTCCTTGTCCCATGCCCGAGCACAAAAAGCCTTTAAACATCCTCTGTGAAACAAGCCATGCACTCTCACATTTTGAGGGTACAGTTTGAGTTTGTCGGTGCAGCCAGCTGCCTGATCTAACTTCCACCGCCATTAAACCAGCGGTGGTCAAATGCGGATCCAGTCCTGCTCAACCAGCACTTGTGAGCCTGAATGGCTGAGCCCCAAGCCAACTGTGATGGCAGTGTAGCCCGCCATGGCTGCATGCACTGCATTATGGCTGAGCATGGAGCAGTAGACACCTTAAGGGCCGAATGCAAGGATCTGACTTGTCCAGGACTTGTGGTACTCTGCCACCTGTGAGGGTGCCTGGAGCATGTTTGGAAGTATAGTCGGTCCATGCTCTGGCTATCTGTTCTCAGTTCCTGGCTCTTTGGCAGTTGGCCATTCACTGCTGAGGTGATTGTACCCACTCAGTGGTTTCGCAACATTGCGTCCATGTTCACTACCTTGTCTTTGTTCGAGAAGGATGTTGCTTTGACAACAGCATCGTTCTCATGACACGGTTGTGGCTTCCATAGCAGCGACACCAGTTTCATGGCATGTTCGAACAAAATGTCCTCCTTCTGCCGCCGTTGCATTCTGCTTTTTGTTGCAGTTGGTTAGCTTTTTGTTGAAGAAAAATCGTTCCGGATCACCCTATCATTCGTAGAGTGATTTTGGAGTCTTAACAGTAACAGGCATGCATAGGCAACATTGGTGAACCAGTGCGGGCCTGCTCTTTTAACCAAAACCGAACTAAAAGAACGCATGGGAAAATACATAGCACCGTTCGGATTGCAAACGCCGCAAAGAATAATTAACACGTGGTCCAAGCAAAGAAAAGTCAGGAAGCGCAAGCCACCTTAAAATGCGCTTGCATTTCAAACCATGGGCAATCAATAATCATGCATCAAGGGCTCTTGTATCTCGATTGGCAATCCCAATGCTAACCAAGCGGCTGTCATTGGCATTGGGTTTAATGGCTCGGATCATGTAGGTGGGGTCGATGTATTTCACCTTGGTGAAAGGCTCTGAGACCCAACAGAATATGACATGTGCATACATAGGTACATCATGGTACACAATAGCTAGAGACATTACGGCATGACCTGTATATCAATACGTTACACAACTTTTGCACACGACTTCTGATCTTTGATAATTTTGTGGCTGTGAGCCAGGTGCTGATGGAAACGCATGAGGATCAACAAAACGTCCATTTGCCACTGGACGGGCGGGTGCATAAGTGCGGTCGAGCAACTGTCAAAGGCAACTTGACCTACCACAAACAATGTCCGATTACGGTCTGTAATATCAAAAACAATCAAGTTACAATATCCTATCAGGCTCACCAATCAATGCCATTCAATGCCAATGTATTGTGCCCTCGCTCTCTCTCCGGCTTAGCGGCTTGGCCTGGCGATCGCGGTGTCTCACAAAAATGCCCGCGTCGCGTGCTCTCTCTCTCTCTCTCTCGCTCCCTCTCTCTACCTGTCTCCCTCGCTCAATGTCTCAGTCTCTTGTTGTGGAAGAGCGTTCTTCTCCCAGCCCCCACCTGCTTGAATCTCTCAACAATCTTGTCCCGCAACCATGGGCCCACGTCCGCCAGCTTCTTGTTTCCGCCACCTCAAGCTCAAAGCTCTGCTGCAAGAGTCAGCCAGCACTACTGGAAAGCTTTTTGACCTCACAAAATTACCTATGACATCCTATGACCCATGACTGCTTCCGTGCTCTCACCAAAAGCCAAACTCTGGCAGGTCCTCAGTCAGTGATTGACGCCAACTTCGCTCAGCTGAGTCTAAGCATCAACCAAACACGTATCACCACGGTCTCATGATCCGATACTTGTTTTTCTATCTGTTCCTTGCTGCAGGCCTTGCGCAATGCGACCCTTGAGATCACATCTACAGGCATCAGCTGCTCCACAACAGGCTTCAAGTCTTCTGGCCACGGCAGCCTTGCCTCCAGCGGCTCCTCCCTGTCTAAACGGATTCCGCTTGAATGGAGACAAACCCTTGGGGCGCCACCTGATGCTGGTGGATCACCGCCGTAATCGACATCGCCTAGCAACGGATGGCCATCATCTGACAAATGTGCACGGATCTGGTGCTGGCGCCCAGTGTGCAACTCCAAGGTTACAAGACTCAAGAATCGCCGAGGACCTTGAAAGTGTGATATCTCCTCTAAGCAAGTTGCACTCGCCTTGCCAGGGCCATCAGTGACCCGGGTCCGCTGCACAGCAGAGCCGTCCGGCAGCTCTTGCAAAGGCAGGTCGATGATACGTGGAGAGCGTGGCATCAGGCCATGAGAGAGGCACATGTACTCCTTTCTCAGGCCCTTGCGGGTTGCGAGCTGAAGCCGGCCTTTGAAATAGCTGTGGTAGCTGCTTGCCCAAATGATCACTCCAGAGGTCATGCGATCCAAACGATGAAGTAAGCCATGGGAAACGGCTGGGTCAAGAGAGATTTTGTACTTGTTACCAAAACTCTTCATCAACCAACTTTGCAGTTCCTTCGCTTCCGGTTCCTGGTCTCCTTGATCTTTTCCTTTATCACCCTGACCCTCGGTGTCTCCTAAAGGCCCGCCTCCCAAGCCATGGAAGTCATCACGCCAAACATTCACGGACCACCCTGGTGGCTTCCACAGCGCACACAGACCTCCCCGCGACATCACAACTGCAGGCATGTCTCCCAAAGGCTCTTTCTGCAAAATGGGGCTTGGAGCTTCTTTCTCAGCATCTCCATCAAGGGCCAAAGCACGCACCTCCAAGGCCTGAGCTGCGACGTCATAAAGCTGATCGAAGATCACGTTGCCGCTACCTCCCATCTCTGAGGTGGCCGCAACTATGCTTTCCAAGTCGACCAACGATACTGCCGCTTCTTTGCTGGATATCTTATGGGCGGCTACTTCTGCCAGGATGTGCCACAAAGGACGGTCGGATGCAGCTGAGGTTGAAAAGCACCATGCGATGTTTGCCAATTCTTGCATCTTGAACTCCTGAGCCTGCTCCGCAAATGCCACTCCCAGGTCACCTAGAAGAGCCAACTCTGAGACCTTCAACCTCCCAAACCTTCAAGCAATGTTTGTCACATCCTAACATCCCAAATCTCCGAGACCTCGAGCACTCGCTGCAGCCAGAAAGGGCTTGGATAGAGGGGCACCAGCGGTGCCCAGGGACTGCAAAATGCTGGCCACGACCCGTGCGGAGAGCTCATCGATGCGGCACCTGGAGGTCTCAGCAATTGCGGCCATCAAAGGCAGGTTTGTAAAGGAAGCCTGACTGGATCCGGCGAGCAACACGACAGGTCGGTTTCAACGTCCACCACACACACTACATATGCAATAAACGTTGTGAGTTAAACATGTATATATATAACATTCGTCAAACCCAACTGGGTCTAGCTGCTCATGTCCAACAATGCCAATTGTGCCGAAACTTGCCCACATGTGATCCCGACTGTCATTAATTCATTCATTCATGCATTTTTTGTCTTTCTTGTTCTCTCTCCCTACTTCGCTCTCGCTATCGCTTTTGCTCTCACTCTTGCTCTCTCCTTGTCATCTTCATACTTGGAGCAAGGACACGCCAGGTGACAAATCAACAAAACCTACCTACATGTCCTACCAAGCCCCCACATGCCAATCTTTCTAGGTCGTTCTAGGACACTTATACACTTATGAAGTTGTTCGACAAGTATTCACTAACGGGCGAGCAGCTTTGGCTATTGCCCAAGCGAAGCTGCTTGTTTCCTGCGGCTCTCCCTGCAGAACTGTCTCACAAGAGTTGCTGAAAGCAAGCAACAGCTGTTCCTCTCGAAGTCCTAAATGTGCAAAGCTCTATGCTGCATTGGCCAAGCACTGTGAATCCAGGTGCCTTCGGTTTGCGAAGGAAGCTACTTGTGCAGCTATACATCTCATCAACAATTGGCTACCAGTGTCTAGCTTGCCGATTTCCCGAGCAGTGTTTGCTAACTCTTGCGCAGCAAATTCGTAACAGAATTGCTGTGCCAAATGCCCAAGCGTTTCCAACAAAACTGCACTTGAACCCATGACTTTGCCAAAGGATTACGCCAGATTTGCCACACCCTGGGGCGTCAACTCTGAAGCCCTTGGGACAAGCTCCTGACCAAGCACTTCCAAAAAAGGCCAGCTTCTGTGCTGCGTAGTGCCACATGCCCGAGCCAGGTTGCAAAGATTCCGCGCACTGAAGTCAAGGGACATCGCCCGATGCGTCAGGGCACTCGTCAGCAGTTCGTTGCGAATCTGAAGCTTGGCGAGGCCTCGGATAGTGGAAGGCAACCTTGGGACATGAGCTGAATCCCGGGTCTTCAGTGATCAGCCGAAGTTCAACAATAACAGGGACAAACAGAATGTTGAATAAGAGATTTCAAAGCCTGGCCTCACATAATGCCAGCCACATCTTGTGAAGCGAAGGCATTCCTTTTGCGCAAGAGCTTCTCTTGGATAACCCGCGCTGCATCTTCCCATAAAGAGCGATCACTTACATGCAAAGTTCCAAATCATCACGCCATGTAGGAAAGCTTCTGCGGTGGGAACTCTCCTAGCTTCTATCTGGCAACCGTCACAAGAGAATCCAGGATGGCCTGCAGGAGCTGTCTTCTTCCATGTATGTCACAGATGTAGCGAGGCATGGCGAGGCGACATGAGACGTCTATTCATCATCTACCTCTTTTCGAATGTCCTTGACTGATCCATGCCAACTGCAAACTACATCCAGTTTCTTGCAACTCTCGCCTGGTCCCTCTCCTTCAACTTCCCGAACGTCTGCGCAAAGTGTGCAATCGCCTGCGGCGTGGTATCCCTACTACTTTCTCGCTTGCTCCATTGATCCTTGAGTTGCGGCAAATCGCTCCTCAGCACCTTGCGTGCCACCACAGAGCTCCAAACTGCCCACGGTAACGGCCACAACGGCCAGCTCTCACCTCTCTCACCTGCGAAGCAGCTTGGTGCCCGTACAGGTCTGCAGGACTAGTGGCTCACGTGGCTTGCCTGACATGGCGGTGCAGTCTGCATCTTTGGAGAACCTTCCCCTGCACACAGGCGTCTTCGTGACAAACTGCACTTCACAACCTTTGGCAAGCGGTTGCTAGACTTGTTGAATCGCGAGCTATGTATAATGAATGTCGCACACATGGTTCGTGAGTAGCTTCTGAGCCAGTGGCTACAGGAAATTACTGCTGCGCTGATGCTTAGCGCATTGAAGCCCCCAAGCTGTATGCAGCATGGTCTATGAACTGAACAGCCAAGAACCAGGCCTCCCTTTGTGACCCTGAAACTGGGCTTGAGGTGCGTTATCCGAACAAAACTGTACCCGGCTCTGACGATGCAGCAGCCAGGCCACCATCAACCTCCCCAGAGCTCTGCAGCAAGGTATCGCCACAACCCTCAGCAACCACGACCAGGCAATGACCCTTGGACCTCGGAATGGTGCTGTGGCAGTGGCCCTTGCACGGGTAGCATCTCGTTGAAGAGTCGGGTTCCACAGCCATATCTGCCTAGCTGCTTTCAATGAATGTGCCATGGTTAGAGGAGGCCCCGCCAGCTCCGACCAGAACCACGTTCGATTCACTGCCGTGACAGCCATGACAATGTTCATGTCAGTCAAAGTCAAAGACGAAAACCCCTCATCGTACCAGTAGCACTTCTGTATACTTCTGTTGGCTCAATAGAATGTCGATCTCTCTATATACAAAAAAGCATATATATATATATAAAGTAACAAAAATAAAAACATATGAAACATGAAAATCATCAAACGTATCATGATGTGTCATGACTAGTCAAGGCCGCGCGACTGCATGAGGTCCAGGATGTGCAAAAGCACCTTCTCGAGGCCTCAGTGGCGACAAACTACCCAAACATACCCAGACAGAACAGCGTAATTTGCTTACGTGTTGTACTGAAGCACTTCCTCCCGGAGAACCAAAACCTCTCAAGTGAAAGCATGTGAAAGCTAACATCGTGATGATGATAAATCAGAATGAACCAACAAGTCTACTTGCATCCGGAGGCTGATAGTCATCTCTGGCAGGAGCACAATATCCGCATGCCGCGCTGCCAGTCCAGCATGAAGTGCGATGAAGCCAGAGTGGCGGCCCATCCTGGCAATGATTCTAATGATGCTCGGTTACTGCATCACCGGTATTGATACTATCTGAATGTGCACAGACACATGAACATTTTGGGGAGTGTCATTGTCACCTTTTCTGAATGTGTGATTCATCACAGTGGCCATTTGAGGCTCTGGCAGCTTCACCAGGCCAATGCAGTTGGCATTGCAGGTGGCTTCCACATAGCCAGCCTTGGGAGCTAAGCACTTTACAATAAGCTCATAATAGAATGTCCGGTGTCACGAGAACAAACGAAGGTCGAATGTATGCAATCATTCAAGTCCCAAATCTACCTAAAAGCGAGGATACTGTTGACATCCTCGTCAGGGTCCAACAAGCCAAATCAAGGCGTCCTTAACGTGTAATGAGCCAACGCACCTTGATTGCATGCTCCGCCTCCATACACGCCGTATCGAAGCCTAGAAGGCTTGAGATTGAAATCGAGTGAACTTCGCGGCGACTCTAAGACGTCAAGTAATTGCAAATAAACGGTGTATGTTTACAACTAGCCTCTTGTTCCTAGTAGTAAGGCCAGGAGCCCCTGGTAGCTTCTTGCTCCTATGCCAACATTGACCCCACACAGTCTGCAAGAATTGCTGTTGTAGGTTCCCGATGGTTCACATTATTGGCAACACGAGAAAGCATTGGAATGACAGCAAGAGACGAACAGCAGAGGACAAATGATGCATGCAAACACGTGATGATGCATGTCCAAGCATGGACAAAGACGTGTTCCATTGCCTTTTGTTGCCTTTACGTCGCTGCATGCCTTCTATGCATGGAAAGCATTGCAAAGCTCATGGCCTGCTGGGCAGGCATCATGGACAGGTGCGGACACAAAAGAATAACACCCCAAACAGCACAAGTGGACAACAGAAGGGACAGAGAGAACCCTCACAGTAAACTGTTTGAACCATCAACTGAATAAGCCCAATCATTGTTGTTGACGTTGCGCCAAGCAGTGTAGGCAGGCACAAAAGGATGGACCTATGTGAAACTTGGCCTTGGCATTGGACGCTCAAGGTGATTGGCTCATTTGAGGCCCTCACCGAAGGTACAATCCAGCATTGGGATGTCATTGTCGATGGTCTTCGGGATGCCAACGACCTGACTCGCATGTCACATGATCCACAAATGTCACATTCATCTGGCTTTCTCAACTCGCGAACAGCCTCCCCACCGATTTAGACCCAAAAGAATGTATCAACATGTCATTGCCCCTCCAGTGTCCAGCTCGAACCCACCCAAAAGCTTCTATGTTGCAGCCAGGCCACAGAGCAATCCCATTTCTTCTGCTTCATCAGTTCTGCGATATCATAAGCACCACGGTGTGTTCCATCACCACCGATGATGAAATGTGCGCCTGGAGGCCCAATGAGCTACAGTAAGTGCAAGTATTGTTGTGTGCATGGCTGCTGGCCCAAAGCACCATCGTGCAATCTCTGAGTTTTGCAGCTTTTGTGAAACAATGTGAAACACGCACCGAGTAAGGTCTCGACGTACACCCATATCCATCAAAACTTGCACTTGCTCCTGCCACTGCGGGAGCAGTCACGGGCTAAGTATGCTAGTTAGTAAACTGGCGGTCTGCTCCTCCTCTGTTGGATTGCCACGGTCACTGACGAGGATTGTCCTAAGCACGCTCACATGACACATTGCGGACACATTCTTGATTTCATCTACTCATCCACAGTCACCTGAAAATCTTTTGAAAATGATTGAACATCTCTAATAGGTTCAAGCAACTCATGAGCGGAACCCAAACGGATTCCACCGAGCCCCTGCAATATTTGTTGTCCATTTGTTAGACATGTCCGCCATGTCCCAAGGCTTGAGGCGTCGACCCACCCATTTTGTTGATGTCCTGGACTGAGACTAGTTGAAACGCGTGAGCTCAAGAAACTCCATGCACAATAGGTAAACACAGCGTACGATTCGAAATAAAAACAGGAAGGCACCCTTGAACTTGGACTGTCGGGGCACAATGCCCAGCAGTCTCCGATTCGTGCAGTGCCAGTGTCGGTGAAGATTATTGCCTTTATCACCATCAACGAGACCATTCGATACTTGAAGAATACTGAATTTGCGCGTGCTTGCTGGAAAGAAATGTATGAGCAAGATCGAGCAAAACAATTTGACGGCTCAATCTTTGGTGACTCAATTTTCGCAAGCCTGCCTGATTCTTGGTATCAAATGGGATGACATTTGGTCTTGCGATGTGTTTTTTGAGATTTGCCAGTTCTGATCCTTGATGCATAATTACTCAAGAGTCTGGTTGCGCACGGCTGCTATGTTACTGCTGGGCAAACACCCCGTAAAGATGTTCGCCTCCAATGTGGCTTTTTGGACATCACGCTCAAATTGTCCGCAAAACATTCATGTGCCATGAAGCCCAAATCACGATGTTTCAATTGCATTTCAGCTGCAATTACAGGTTACACAATGACAGCGGACAGACTGATGGCTGCCGGCATTCAGGAGTCCTCTGATTGCCGCTTCTGAGGCAAGTAAGGAATCTGTGCAACCCTTTCTATTTGAACCGAATTTGTGCTGTCTTGGAAATTACGTAAATTTGTGGAAATTCCCTTCGCGGTTTCTGCAAAACTCCGCGATTCCAGTACGTCGAACTTACATGTTCTGGATTGGAATTCTCATGCGCAAGGTGTATTTCATCAATGGGATAGTGATGCTTCCAAAAATGCTTGGAGCTTCAGGTGTTGATTCTGATCTTCCGCTTCTCACCATAAGGCCCTCACGGAACGCAACTTTTGCCGTTTCCTTTTGTTGTGCAACACGCTCAAGTGGCGTCTGGGAGAAGAGCTTGCATGTTAGTCTTTGAACTGGCTATCCTTGCCTTCCATCAACAAATTTGTGTTGACTTGGAGCCAAGTGTCATTGCTGCGCCTCATGCGTACGCAAAAAATCTCACGTGATGCCTTTGCGTGTTGCAAGCTCAAAAGGTGGTTGCTGCTCCTTTGCACTTGGAGTTCCGCAATGAAAACAATGGCAAGACCTTTCCGAAAGGTGCCTTCCATGTCGCTGAGGTCTTTTTGTGGAACGAAGTTTTTGAACTTGTTTGCTTTGCCTTCTGTAAGGGAGCCGAAGATACCTCCTTGTCTTGGACGATTCCTTTTGACCACCTGTGTTGAAAGCTATGCACCTGACCGTTGAAGCGCAAGCTCAGCAGTTGCCCCATCCAGAGAGAATAAGGTCCCTTAAAAACTATATTAAAGGCCCTTATCTGCTTTTCTTCTCTCCTCCTTATCCTCATTACCCTCAATAAGAACAGTGCAGAATCGCTACGCCACTACATGTTGTGTACAATTTAGAGTCCTTGCCGACTCGTGGGATGGATTTTGCAATTATACAAACATACCCAACAATCGACTATTGCGCCAGAGGGGACTAGGGACCTTTAGGGCTTTAGGCGCCTTGTCAATACAAACAAGCCTTTCTCTACTATCTCATCCCCTCTTACATCCTCTGCCTCCTTACTGCTAACTACTAGGCTGGCCTAGGGAAGGATCCCGGTATGTCACCATAACACGGCCCAGAACTGGGCAACCTGCCTGGACGCTCATCGGTGTTAGCTCCATCCAAGTCTCTGGCTTTACCACCTAATTGCAAGTTCGACTCGGAATCTATCGCAGTAGTCGAAACCCGTCGGACTAAACAGCACGAAAAGGGCAGCAACATGTCTAACGGCGATGTAAGGCCCGGGCTCCCTTATAGCCTCCACGGATCCCATAGACCTTCTGCACCTCTGCAGTTCTGCACACATTATGAACCATCTGGTTGGGATGGAACTTTATACAGTAATGGTCTTATAGAGCCTGTTGGTGTGTTCAACCCAGCTCACGGAGCATGACAAAACACCCTGAAGCAGTCCCACTACGAATTTGTTGGGCTTCGCTGAGCAGGGAAGGTAATACTGGAACGAGCACACCTCTCAGGCTGCGACACCATACTGTGAAAGCATCATGACCAATTCGCGGATCACCTAGGTGTGACAGCGCTTCTGCCTGGACATCCACAGGGGCCTTTCATGATTGAACATCTATGATGACAAAGCTCCGTGGCAGTTTGAAGGGGCCATCTTGCCTGCAAAGCACAAGCCCTCGGTGTGCTGCATTAGACTACCGTGGATGTGGTAGATTGAGCTGCAAAGGAGTTTGCTTCCCGAGTCTTCCTGCAAGATCTGAAATGCATGGCTCCCGGACTGCATTCAAACCTGGGCATAAGCCACCACAGGTGACCACCGTGGCCACCATGTCCTGGAGAGTCTTCTCATGTCTTCTCCCGTTTCAAGTGGAAAACTTGAGAAGAGCATGGAAGAGCTTCGTTGTCTTCTTGTTGTGGAGTCCTGCGGCTCAAAGTGCAGCACAGGCCTGCAACCAATCGAGGAGAAGCATTGGATCCTGATCGAACCTTCGAACATTCAAGACTTGCCCCCCAAACGCCGCCTTGCGCCAGCCAAAGGCATCTGGTAAAAGCAATCTGTACCTTAGATATACTATACTCTCAGAAGTATGACGGTCCACGATGAAACATGCAAGAAGGTTGATGAGGCATGGCACAAAAGACTCACACAACATGATTGGGGATGTATGCTCACGTCGTGTGCTATGCCTTTACTTACCGTGTCGAAGTGTCGGCGCATAGGTATATATATATACATGTTCACAACCCCCAAGCTGTCCAATCTCCTTGGTGCCAAACTGTCCAAAGAAATGGCCTTCGACCGTCCAAGGTAGCTCGACCGTCGACGGTCGTCCGTCCCTTCCACTTGTCGAAGGTCCACCACGGGTTGGCCCGAGATGACCCAGCCGCTTGTCAAAACGTGAAAACTTTAACTACAGTAACTTCAGCATACTCCAGCGCAACTACGGAGAAAAGAATTGAAACGATCTGGAAACCTGAGATGCTTCATGACGGCGGGGGGATCACTTGCCCGTCGACTTTTGGATCACTTGCGCATCGGGGATCACTTACGCATCGGAGGATCACTTACGCATCGAAAAAGTGGACCACTTGCGCATCGATGGCAATAATGGTGGGATCTAATGGCATGATTGGCCCATGTCCACATCATCACATCCGACATCCGTGCACATTTCTCTGTGATCTAACGCTTGCCATCGACAGGAAATCTCATAACTTGTGACTCGCGTGTGTGGGGTGTGGGGGGGTGTGGGGGGTGGAGGATCTAATGGAATGATCGAATCCACTTCTTCGCCACCAAGTGGGACAGCCTGTTTGTCCAAATAGTTTTAAACTTGTGTTTAGACCTCGGTTTGAAGGAACATCTTTGAACAACTAAGTTCCCCAAAAAAGCATCTACGAGCCAAATCATTAAGGCTCGGGCGTATTTGAGTTTAGTAGCTTACCCTTTAGTGGCCGCATATTGCATGTTGCGCTCAACGAAACCCCTAGGCACAAGCGATCCAAAACGCGACGCACAAGCGAACCCCCGCCCCTTCATGACACATCGAAACAGCTGGTCCAAAAGCTTCCGCGGACCAGCTCGTGCAACTAGTGTTCTGGAGTTCTGGATGTTGCTTCCTAGTGGAGCATGGCACAAGGGGGTCAATGCACCTGCGTGGCGAAGGAATCCTTGTTGACAAAGCGGCTCACGATGTCTGTCCTCAGCAATGAGATTTCTCACACGTCGCTGGTTCATTGTTCAGGTTCCCTCCGGCTATGAATTTGAATCGTTGGTGTTCACAAACTGGCCAAGAGTTACAAAAAAAATGAACACTGCTTGGTACCCACATTGCGTGCATCAAAGACCATTTATGGCTGGCTCTGTGCAAGCTTGAGGGAAACAAACTTGCAAGGGACAAAATATCGAAGAAGGGTGCGACGCGACACAATGCGCCTCGCGTCTGCTCCTTTCTGGTGGACAGTCTGGATTCAACTTCGATTAAACACCGCCACCCACTATTCAAACAATATTGTTGCCCAACAGTTGAACTGCCCATCAGCACATCTATGTTTTCACAAATTTGAGCCGTTCACCTTGCGTACCAAAGCAACCGGCTCTACTATACCTGCTCTCCAAACATGCAGCCAGGGTTCAATGGTGAAGGCACGTTCTTCCCCGGAAACACCTGTCGATGCAGCAACGGTGTTTCCGGTCAACGGTGTTTCCGGTCATGTGGCATCAGGCAGCATTTTGCATGGAACGCGCAACAAGGATCGACATACGCTTCATTGGTCTATATATGCACTGGACAGGAGTGCGCATTATATATTAGTTAAAGGGAGGCTTAGCTGCTTAGCTTCTTTCTAACCCCTCATTTTCAAGCGTTTCTGCAAAGCAATAAAGCTGCATCTGAAGCATCTCCATAAGCAACATGAGTCTGGCCCAAGAAAACACAACAAACAAAACTTAACAAACAAAGGAAAGAAGCAAGCAAAGAAAATAAAACAATAAGGAAGCAAACAAGACCTATAACATGACCTATACCCTATTAATTAAACCAAATCAATCCATTGGCCACTGGCTTGTACTTGTTTGTCTTTGTATGTTTCTTGGGGGATTCTTGATTGTCTTGTAGTCTTGTAGCTTGTATGTCCTTCTTGGTGGTCACTCCCCTGCTTAGCTTAGCCATGCCTGTACTCAGGGTACTGTCCTTCTCGGTTTGTTTGTCCACTATTGGCAAGCTCTTGTTCCTCTCATTCTGTTCTGTCACTGCTGGTGCAAATGATTATAAAATATCACATGTGTCACATGTGTGTTTAACCCCTCCTCTCCCCCAACACTCTCCCCACAAGTTCTTCCCAGTCCGGGTGGGCTGTTTTATTGCTTCAATAGGTTCCGCATGGACGGATTGATGTGTGATGTTTTGTTGCTTGACTTTTTGTAGCCTTTCATTTTTGTAAATTGAGCACCGAAGAAGGAAAGCTGCTTCAGTTGTTGCAAGGTTTTTCTTGGTCTAGTTGTTTTGTCATGGTTTGATCCTTCTACTTAGAAAATGTAATTATTCAGTTCTTAGGAAGAACAACAACGAAGCAAAAATACTGTAACATGACTAAAAAAGGTGTTGAACTCAACCAAATACAAAAGGATTGATCAGGTTCTATCCAAGAAAAACACAAAGATTTTGGTTGTCCTTCTTTTGTTTCCTTCTTTTCGTTTGGACCAGGTTCCAGCCACACTCAAACAGGAATTAAGTCTGTCATTTGGACTGCTATGATACACAGTGCTCTTCACCTTGAAACGCCCCTACTTAAACGATGTCTTTTGGGTTGTCCTATTCTTAGTTGGTTTCTTTTCTTATCGTTGTTGTTGCAACTAGCGATGATGATTGAAGATGGGCATATATATATATATATGCACAGCAAATACACTAATATACACCTACAATACTGTCTATTGCTCCAATCGTTTGGTTGACCCTGTCTATTCTTCCATGTAAGCTTTCAACATGTTGGATAACCAAATAATTTTGTGCTGTTGGCAAACAAATGCGTCAATCAGAAAAAAATAAAAGGAGGCACTGCAGGTCACATGACATTATATAGAAGGATTTATGGTGCCCACCGGTACCCAGCAGCCCTCGTAGACCCTGCCTGTCTTTGATTAGGCGCTCCTCCTCTTGAATTGTTCATCCTCTCTTTGGTTTTAAATTCAATTTACACATCAACAATGCAATTCACGTTTAGAAAGATTGTGATTTCAAAATGTCAATTGAACACAAATTGAACATGTAATCATGTGTAAGCTGCATATGTTTGTTCAGTTACTTTATTGTAAAGGATTCCAAGTCTAAGAGTGACACTGATGGAACCCATTATAAAGCATCGAAAATGTCTTTTCGTGGACTTAATAGAAGTTCTACAAATCAATAACTGCTTAGGCTTAGTACTCTTGAATTTACCAGGGGTCTCAGTCTCAGTAGAGCATTGCATTCACCAGCGTATACCATGTTCCATTGCAAAAGCACGGCCACGATTGCGTGCCCCTCTCCAGATCTTATTTGGGGTAGATAGTTATATACATCAAGTGTAATGCTGTACCGGTTCCTTTTGGTCTCAGCAGGTCCCCCTACCTTGGACAAATCGTCAATGAGAAGGCGTCGGAGCTCTGCGGAAGGTGGGAGGAGATCTTTGGCCTCACGGAGGATGATGACATTCAGTAAAGGTTGAGGACTGGCGCAGTGGGCAGGGATTTTGATTTAGGGACTGGACCATTTCAACAACGTATGCCTCTCAGCAACGCGTGCCTCTTTTAGTGGGCGCCACTGAGTGGCATGCTGCCACTCCAAAAATAGGTGCCATCCCTTTCTGGTGCTCAAAAAACCGGTGGCCCGCCTCCAGCTCCCGTAGGGTCAAGAGTTTTCCATCAAAGTCCTCCACCACAAAGGCTGGTTGATCAAAGCCCTTCTTGTGGGGCCTCAAAAAGGCTGCTGTTGATGGCTCACTCTGGCTGCAGGTTCTGTTTGAGGAGATTGGTTTCGGCGGGGCAAACTGGCGATGCTTGGAAAGAGGAGGGATGTATTTCCTTCACACGAATATGCAGGACAATAACCTGGAAAGATTGACACCGTGGCCGTGGTATTTCCTTCAAACTTGTACTTCTAGTGCAGGCTGGTCAAATCCGGCAATCGGTCAAACAATGAGTTTCCGTCAGTGAGACCGGGCAAAAGCCAGAAATTAGGTCTTACAATATCAAAAATGATCAAACTGGTTTCTTGATTTTTTGAAATACAGTAAATAGCTACAGTACACTGCCTGTGTGCGATTTAACCATAGGCGCCCCAGCATGAGCCGAGGCGGCTTCTTTTGCAAGGCCCGTCGCTGTACTGGAACCTGGGTGAGCTGGCCAAACACGAACACTGTAACCAAACTTCCGTGTGCAAATGCAACGAAAACATACTCTGGGCATCCCTGGCTTTGCCAAATGCACTCCACTTTGGTATATCAATGACAGAAATTCAACAGGTACATTGCATCTGTGAACTAGGTTCACGGCCAATGCGGCGGAGGGTGTTGGAGGTGGTGCCACTTTCACCTCAAGAACAATCGAAAACGGAACAAATTTTGTCAGTGTGACCTTGGTCTTGTCATCCTGATCGGTTGAATCCGAGCGCGCCAAACATCAGACCTTACCTGTGAAATAAAGAACAGGCAGTTCTGTTCATATTAGGATACGTCACTGGCCGCTGACGCTGGCCGCTAGCTGTGACGTCACTTCGGCCCTGAGGGCAGAGACACTATTCCCGAGGTGGTGGGCCATGTAAGCCTCAGCTCTACTCCAAATTAATCCAACCCGGAGTGTTGAAGTCCAACTGTCCCGGAGTCTATGCTCGCGTTGCAACATCAATGCCGCTCAAATTAGCTCAGCACAAAAGTTTGCAGCACGCATATTTCTAATGTGTCATTAGTTCACTGTAGACTCTAGTTTCCACTGGGTATGCAAACTGCAATGGAACCGTTTCCTCAGGGTACGGCAAACGGATCGTCCGGTTTGTCAGCCAGCACACCTCAAAGAGCGACAACATCAAAAAGTTTGGGCATTAGAAGTAGTGTCAAAGAAACTTTGAAACATATCCCAAAATATCACATCTTGCTGGCCTGAGACAAATGGCCAAGCACAGCCAAGGAGCTGGTCATAAGGTTTTGGATGAAGACTTGGAGCTCATGTTTCTTCAGGTATGCCTGGCCAGACCCGATTGCTCGCAGTTTTTTCGGTCATTGCTATTCACCATGCAGAGTTAGGCCATCAATCACACAGCAAGGCTGCCCTTTACAAAATACAAACAACTATACGGCTACACCGAATTACATCGATACGGAGTTGACCAGTGAAGCACGCTTGCGTGCCTCTGTTTCGCTCAACGCATCTTCTCCCCGCGCATTCGGAGGCCTCCAAAACTCAACTTGCATCAATGGCGCCCGGCTGCGACATGACTGACTATCATGACTCAGGGTTATAAATGGTTTCAAGTGGGCCACTCTGGTTCCACGCTCAACGCTTTCAGCACCATGCTTTCAGCTTCCCCTGCCAACCCGACGCTTTTTGCGCTCGGCATCCCTGCGCGGGTGCTGTTTCTCCGGCAGCTGAACTCAAGTCGCGCACCAGCAGGTCCAAGTTCATCTTCCTCAGCTAGAAGGCGGTTGGTTGGAGTGTGTGCCTGTGTGCCCTGGTGCTTTAGTTTTGGTGCGTTCTAAATGCCTGTTGCTTCAACCTGTTTCCGGTGGCGCCGTGATCTACGTTTGGATACTAAACATCCGGTGCCATGTCTAAGCCTCGGACTTTCCTTCCCCGAAGCTCACTGTGTAGCGATCGCTCTTTGGTCTCAACACAACTCGGGACGAACCCAGTGGGGCGAAGATGTCAACCTGCGAGCCGAAATATGCAACATCTGCACAGTCAAATGTTCCACCAGTTGACGAACAACGAAACGTTGGGAGTCCTGAGAACGTAAAAAGTAGGTCGATTACACCATAGTACATGTGCCTTCTGTTTCTTTAAGCATCACTGCCCACACCACAACCAACATTATTGAGCCGTGCACGTCCGCGACATAATATGACACAACCTGGTAGTTGGAATGGTGCTCTGCATGCCGCCTTGAATGGGCTAGCATCCAGCAGGCTGGTTTGAGCAAACCGCACCTGGAGCAAATCAAAAGTTCAATAAATTTTGGCGATTGTTCAACCGTTATGCGTCATCAACTCGCAGAACGACACGGCTGACTTCAAATTCGCAGCTGGCCAACTTGTTCAATTGTTCCTGTTGAAGATTAAGTGCCCCGCCGGCTTGTCGGCGGGGAGTGTCCCTTGCCGTCGAACGTTTCCCGCCCGAATGGACCTGCGCATAGCTAGCCGTGACCGCCGGACGAAAATTAAACCGCAACAGAACACAATACATATTCTTGCATGTTCTTGCCGCTGGAGCACGCAACCATATCACAATACACCTCTTGTTAAACCGATCTGGGTCACGAGCCCTGATTGATCATCTTGAATGGTTGAAAAATGGAAACAATGCCAATGCGTCAACCACAAAATTCACAAAATGTTATCAAAAACACACTACCCCAAAAGAGAAAAAAACAACAAAACAATTGCGAACAAAAATCGAACGAGAAACGTGCCAGCTCGGCAGGATGCTTCCCTCAGGGATGTTCGACGCATTTTCCACCAACACCTCGCGGCAACCCGCATCACACCGCTACGAGCACCATGGTGATGTGTTCATCCGGGATCTGCGTGGTGATGCAGATAATGCAACTGGCGCAACCCGCCAAATCAAAAGATTCAATTGCCAACCTCCATGGTTCCGTCGCTCAGGCGTTCCTGGATACCAGGACGTGCTAGGACCTGAGGACGCAACAAAACACGACGTAAACCATTTAGCACGGCCACAATCGGCAACACGCAATCCGAGGTTACCGCGCGCAACTCACTGTCCGCAATTGGCAAACAGCCAACTACGCACTATTCAACCTGGATGGCTGCGGCACAGCCACCTGATTGTGAGATCATTTGCAAGCCCTTGTGCGAGCAACATCCGCCTATTAACGCAAAATACCGCACGGCCGTGGTTTCCAAGTGCTGCTATTGATATCTCTGGACTTTCACATGACATGTTCAAACAATTCATAAATACAGGGGATGTTTCCGGAAGTGACGCCAGCGCGGCCGTCACAGCAATCGCCGCTGCATGAAATTGATGGCAATGAAAGAGAACCAGCTCCGGCAAACGCGTGTTGAAAAATATTTGGAAAAATTCCAGACTTGCGAATTTGGGGCAGGTGGAGGGACAATGGAACGACATACTCCTCAAGGACTGTGAAAGTACCACTTCCGTGATCCGGCTGTTTGTGCAAGAGTGTTCACTTGTTCGCTTAGGCGATCTGTCACGCGGAGCTGCTTTGGTTCGTTGCAGGGAGTGCATGACCCATGGCAACCAAGGACAAGGCGACCTGTTCCCGAACCCGTGCCGGCTGGCACTCAAGTTGGGGAGACCCTCACTCTAATTCCTGGCCGACACCTACTACTACTGCACCCCAGGAGAAGGAGTGGGGGGTGGGATGATGCGATACCCGTTGAATAACGCCAAAATCGTTGGACTCAGTACTTTAATCGAAAAACTGTACCTAAATCCTTGCGGGTTGACGTTGTTTCTTTTGTTCTTTGTTCCAAGGTCGGCGCTCAATCCTTTTGACTGAGATTCCGTCATGTCAAAATACTCGGGCCGACGCTTTGTTACCTTGATGATCGCATCTGATACCAAAATACTGCCGAATTCTTGAAAAATGTGATACTTAACGTCCGTGATACGTGGGTACTTGCGCACGTTAAACATGTACAAACCACTTTGTCATGTTTTGTGTGCGCGAGGCGCCCGGCTGGTCATGTTCTGGTTCCGACTAATTCGCCCGGCATTTGGGCACAATGGTATGAATATATGAGGACACGCACGTTCTGAAGAGAAATAAAATAAAACAACGGCCACACACACACAACACGGTGTAAAACACCGATGTCGGACAATTCGTGTCATCGGAACGGGTCATCGGGTCCCCGGTCAACGAGAAACATCCGGTGTGTCTGTCACGCTTTTGGATGTTTTTGGTACCAATGAAACGTCCAAAAATATAGGCCTCCACAAGATAGCTCAATTTGTTTTTTGATGTTTCGTGGAAAAATATTTGCCTCCATGGTTGGATACGCAATCAAAATTCCAGAATTGGATGCTGCATGACCCTGCCAATGCACAGGCCGGCCCTATTGTTACTAAAATATTAAAATCCATACCTTGACCCCGCGCAACCAATCACACACAGGGAGCACATGCATTGCGGCATTACTGAATTCCATTCCTAACATACCATGAGGTCATCAATTTTGCTGGTATGTTGTTCCAACATGTTTGTTGAAATCCTTGATCCAAGGTTGGGCTGCTTTGACTGTTTGTGATGTCGGACCAAACTCCTGGACGCAGGTGTTTTCAAGCACAAAAAATGTCATTGTTGGCCGCTTCAATATGGATTATCTAACGGGTATGATGCGGGCTGGCAGACCGATGAATGGGAACAAACTGATCCGTGGCGCCAACCATCTCACGATCCTTGGAGTGAGGGTTCCCCGTCCACTACCGATGGCTGGCTTTCGGATGCGCAAGTGAGAAGCTTCAATATCTTCAATGTGGCACGGCTGCATCGCATGACTGCTGCAACAATGGGCGTTGGGCAGGCAGCTGCGATCACAACTTGGCCTGATGACCTGTGGCCTCAACGAGATCCAAAGCAGAAACTCGTGGTTCCAGAGTTTGATGGTGAGCGCACCAATGGCCAGGAGCTTGGCAAGTCCGCCCAGAGCTACATCCGGAAGGTGCAATTTTGGTTGAGGTGCAGCCTGAACAGCAGGCGCTAGCACTGTATAGCGCTTTGGCTGGAAAGGCTTAGGTGTGGATTTCACGCCGCGCAATCTCTGAAAGCGCTTGTGTGAGCTTTTGGCCGCCGCGCCGCTCCTTTCTGGGCCAAAAACCTGCGCCAATGCAGGGGCCCCTTGAAGCCCCACATGTGCTACGCACATGCTAGAAAAGGCAAGTTCATTTACTTTTTTCTCCCGACACTTCGAGCGGTCGCGATTCTAACACGAGTTGTTCACTCCGTGTTTTCATATTAAGCGCAGCCTCCTCACAGGAGGGGGTTCCGGCATCGTTGCTGCCATGGCCACTTCGCCTCGACGTGGAACCTCACGCGATGGCGCGCAATGGAGGCGGCAGCAGCGGCGCCGGCAAGGACATGAAGGATAGCTTCGCGCTTCGACAACACGACCTCGACATACGCTGAATGGCGGAGGCGCGTGAAGACTCTATATGCCCGCAAACTCGGGCTTTAAGGTCGCAAGAACGAGACGGCCCTGAATAATGTCCTCTGGAGGTCGACCTAAACCACCACCGCTTTGGGGTTTCACGCCGCGCAATCTAGGAAAGAGTTCGCGGTAACTTTTGGCCGCCGCGCCGCTCCTTTCTGGGCCCAAACCCTGCGCCAATGCAGGAAACGCAAGCTCATTTACTTTTTCCATCCCGACACTTCGAGCGGTCGCGATTCGAACCTTTCATATTATAGGTCTACGCGGAGGAGCTTGACCTTGACATCATGGCTCGGGTAGTGAACAATGGATCCAGACCAGGTATCACAGACGATGAATTTGCTCGGCCGACGTCGTCGAAAGCCAGGACAAAGTGTTCGTGACTTCAATGTGGAGTTTAAGGACCGCCTCAAGCTCACTGAAGGTGAAGGTCAGCAGCCAGTACGACGTGAAAAAGCTGCAGCAGGCCGCGCTAGTGCAACACAGGGCAGTCAAACGCTCTTTTGCCCCGTTGCGCGAACAGCCCAGTTGGAGTGGCAAGAGATGGAGGAACCTTGTGAGATGGACGGGGACCTCGTGGATGAACACACCGCCCAAGAACATCACGGCCTACATGGCGCACCTGTACACTTCGTCGGGGCGGGGTGTGGACACAAGCTTGAGGCCGGGGTTGGTGACGAAAGATGGCATGGCTTGCAAAGGGGATACACATGAATTATTCACTGGGTAGGTCGTTCCATTCCCCAGCCAACGACTTGCTAAAGCAAGAGTAACTCCAGCTAGCGTCAGCTAGCTTTCGTGAAAGGTTGACACTGCCAAAGTTTTTGAAACGCCGAGGTCATTGGCACAAACATGCTGAATGCCCGCTGCGCGCACACCTCGTTTTTGGCAGATTTGCCCATAGTAGATTCCTTAAACCCGAACACTTGATGAAGAGTGTACTGAGCCTTTGCGGGTGGATTGGTTGTCCTTGACTGCCTTTCTTGCTGGGTTTGCCGCTTGGAGTGCGCCCTCGTCCCCTTGCGGATGCTTCTCGCGGGCCCTGCCGGGCATGGTCTTGACTTGACGACTCGGTCTGGCAAGACCGTGTGGCATGGAAGATTGGTTGGCTTGGAAATTGGAAACCAACTTTTTGGCAGATTGGCCCAAAATAGATTCCTTAAACCCGAACACTTTATGAAGAGTATACGCAGCCTTCGGGGGTGGAGTGGCGAGGTTGGTTTGGCATGTTGGTTGGCGAGTTGTCATTGACAGCCTTGTTTGCTGAGGTTCGTCGCTTGGAGTGCGCCCTTGTCACCTTGCAGACGCTTCTTGTGGGTCGAGGCGCAACTCACTCAAATGTGTCAGGTTGTTTACATGGCTCAGAGCGTGAGCACGGAGGGAGAGCACTCTGCGCCCAATCGCCGTGAGCCCACCAGGGCAGATGGACATGGCGCGCGCAATTTCCATGAAGGTTCCGTGGGCACATTTTGGTTTGGGGAACTGAGGGCGCGCGGGGCGACGCGTTGGCCACTTGAGAAGAGGGATACACGAAAGGTAGGACAGCGGGAGGAGAATACGCATGTAAAATATGCAGCGTGGTGTTGGTGGAGTCGAATCAAACGTCAACGTGAGACAAGAGTTTGAGATAGACAGAGATAGATATAAATATAGCTATATGATAGTCCTCAGCGACAAGAAGCACTAAACACAACAAGTCATGTCTCTTCATGAACTCAAACACTGCCCAAGCTTAGAGTGCTCAACACCAAATAATCATCGAGGTGTCGAGGTGATCCACTTCGGGATGAAGCGGTCAGGGTGCTGAATTGAAAAATCAATTCTAAAGGGGTGGGAGGTTTGTACTGAAAAATCGACTCCAAAGGAGGGGTGAGGGGTAAGTTCCCCAAAGTGGCAGTGAAGTACACTGGGCCTGACCGACAGCGCCAAGTAAGACCCAATAGACTCGATAGCGGAGTGTCGAAGTGTGCGAACGGCAGAGAGCACACTTTTCTATGGCGAGCGGTGCAAGTGCGGGCTCTAGTGGTCCTGAGCCAAAAGCAATGTGAATAATGCTGACTGCATGAAGAGTATAGACAAGATATCTACGAACAACAGGCGCTGCCCAAGTATAGCGTAGGCACGTCTATAGGGGGACCCTAGAACACTACAAATTACAATTTTCTTCGTGTCAGAGCTTACGGCTGCAAAAGTACAAAAAGGGATGCAAGTGAATTACAAAAGTTCTGACTTCGCAGAACTAGACCGTAGATGCCATCATATGACGTCAGACAGTCTAATTTTAAGATTCAAAAGCGGAGTCTTCTGAATCTATTCAGGTCTAATCACATGCAACTCGTTATGCTGAGAGATCTCCCGAATGTCGGAGTCTTCTTGAATGCTGGAATTGCCGGAATGTCGAACGTCGGCAATTTGGACATCATGCTCACCAAGGAGCTTGCAACCGTCTATACTGGCGCGAACCCCAATAGCCAGTATCCCAGTTAGGCTCACGTCTTGAGGAGGAGGCAGAGGACTGCCACCAGTCTTGCCTTCGCCATTCTGTTTTCGGTATTGCGCAGAAGTATCACTTCAGACTCGAACATTGGTTCTTGCAGCGAGTTGGAAAGCACACTGAAACGGATGGCGATAGTCTTGGTCGCTGCTCTTTAATGAA